GAAGAGCCCTCAGCGTGGTCCTCGACAGTGGCAAAGGTGTTTGTATCATCGATGGCGAAGTGCGACGCGATGCCAAAGGGTTCCTGCCCGACCTAATCTTCGAGCGTGCGAGCTCGCTCCACCCCAACTTGCTCGACGGGAGTATCAGACTCGGCTTCCTCATCGATTACAATGATATCCTTGATCCTTGCAGCCATTTTACCTAAAAAGTAGAGGAAAATGGTGAATTCGACATCTAAGATCAAATACACCCTTCCACCACAAATCAAGTGAAAGAGCGAAGAGAGGGGTGAGGAGTCGCTTGACAAAAACTCGTCGATGCAGAGTAGTGAGCCTCCCCCTCGACAGAAAGGCTCATCCACGCGGGGTCCCTGTTCGACGCAGAGCATCGATTCTTCCTCCTTAGAGGAAAGCTCGTCCACGAGGAGACTCTCCTCGACGAGAGACAGCGAGCCTCCCTTCTCGACAAAAAGGCTTCTCAGCATGTAAGATCTCTCCAGTTGAACACAAGGAGCCTCCTCGACAAAAGACTTATTCGCAAAGTTCACGCATTCGCGGGAAGCAGGGCTCCCTGAGACCTTCATCATAGGTCCCCGAGGCCTTCATCGGAAACTTCATGAAGCTTCCCAGAATCCTCATGAACTTCTCGGCGTCTTCATCGGAAACTTCATAGATCCACCGAAAACTTCATGAGTTCGTCGGAAACTTCATGAAAGTCGTCGGAAACTTTATACATTCCTCGGGAACTTCATGAGCTCCCCGAAGAAATCACTGGAAAATGCATAAACCGCCAGAAAGTTCATAAAATCTGGAGAAAGGGCCAGAGACTTACTTGAAATAAGAGGATTCTGGACGACGAAGGAAGGATGACGGCGGTTGCGACGACGAATGAACCTTGGAGAGCAGAGAGAGCTTTAGAGACTTGGGGAAAATTCCTGAGTGAAATGAAGGGGAGCGTACAAATGAAACGGACTTCCCCTATTTATAACCCTAACATGGGAAGCGATGCATCGCTAGGTACTCAAGTATCCCTACTTATAGCCGCCCTAGGCATTTATTACTCTTGACACGTGACCCTAGAAGACACCACACGTGTCCTTTCAACTCCCTCTCCTGCTCGAGACCAGACATGCCCCTTCCCTTCCGCTTTCGTCATACCCCCGGGAAGCAGGAAAACAACCAAGATTACATCTGACGGACAAGCCTCCTCGTGAGCTTCTGTCTTGTCGATCAGTTCCTATTCCTGGCCCAACGCTTCGTCCCCGAGTTTAGTGTTTCAGACACTCACAACACTCTCCGGGCAGATCCTTGACATTTGAACTGACTCTTAAGTCATTACTCCTCTGTTACAGAGAAACGACTTGAGGGGCTCCTAATCTGGATTAGGTCAGAGGCTGACCCACCGCCGGACACGGCCTAACCCAACTCCTCATCGGATATATATATATATATATATATATATATATATATATATATATATATATATATATATATATATATATATATATATATATATATATATATATATATATATATATATATATATATATATATATATATATATATATATATATATATATATATATATATATATATATATATATTAATTTACTATTTTTAAATATATTTGTTTTGCCTCTATTAAAAAAATATCCGTGTTCAAGATCATTTAAAAATCACATATTTTTAAGATCTTAAAAATGAAGTATTAGTTTTTGTTCAAATTTTTTATAAAATGCTATTTTGAGACACAAATTTTTCTTTAAAATTTTTTATTACGATTTTCAACTGTTGTCTAAATTGTTTTTTGAATCTATTTTCTAAACTTTTTTACACAATTTCATTTTAATTTTTTATTACGATTTTCAACGGTTGTCTAAATTGTTTTTTGAATCTATTGTCTAAACTTTTTTTTTATAATAAATTAATTAATTTATCTCATTTCTTAATAAATGTGAAGAAAAAAACACATATGATCCTACCATTTTATGAATGTGGGAAACCAAGAAATATTCATTGTATTTATTAAGGCCAGATTTAGGTCAAATCTTTTTTTTTCCTTTTTTATTTGCCACAGTTTCAGTCATTGTCTAAATTTATTTTTTTTATACCATTTGTAAATTTACGACATTTTTAAATAAATACGAATATATATATATATATATATATATATATATATATATATATATATATATATATATATATATATATATATATATATATATATATATATATATATATATATATATATATATATATATATATATATTAAATTGTCAGTATAATATATTTTAAACTGTCAATATATCACAATCATCCGTTAATATTATCCTTTAAGTGATTAAAAAAAAGTCAAAACATTCAAATAAATGAGCGGTTGAGATCAACTGAAAGTGTAAAAATTTTTTACACTAACGGTACATATCAGCAGATGAGATCAACATCTCAACTGAAAGTGTAAAAAAATTAATGGTTAGACCATAATTTTTCTATTTCTGGCTATGGTTTTCTGTCATTTTATAAAAAAATTGCATTATATATGAAGTATTTGTCAAATTTCTTGTACCATTTGAAAATTTATCACATATCTTAAGGAATTTGAAAAATAAATATATAACTATATCTTATCTAAAAAAAATTGGGATACGCCACGACAATTATCACATATCTATAATATAAAAAAATTATATGTTTTAAATTTGACATTCTTACCCTTTTCTTTAACTGTTATGCATTCTCTTTTTAAAGTTATTTTTGGTCTAAACTAACTGAATCTCAACCAATTTAATTTGTGTCATCTGGTTAAAAAACTAACCAAACATTCTCAACTAATTCTAACAGTAGCTTGGCACAAAGTGTGTTTACCTTTCTCTCAAGGTGGCCTCCGCATCAGATCAATCTCAACTATTAATGTTGCAGCTAACCTTAAATTATGCATGGAGTTGTTCAATTCCTTTAACCAATGGGACCAACTTCTTAGGAGGAGGGTTTTAAGACACAACAAACATATTAATTTTCACATCTCTTCATCTGTTTGGGGAGGAATCAAAAGCAGTTTCCAAATTTTGTCTGACAACTCAACCCAGAGTTTGGGAAATGGAAGAAGAATCAATTTCTGGGAAGATGATTGGTGTGGTACCCTTTTGGTAGAATTATTTAATTTTCCTTCTTGTGTTCAAATAGGATTGGTTTCCAAAGTTGCCGATTATATTCAAAACTTCCAATGTAATTTGCCACCTGATCTTGTCATCTTCCTACCTCAACTGGAAGGGATTCTCAACCAAGACCATATCCCTTTTGATCCTAGGAGTGATAAGCTCAGATGGAAGCTCTCTCTAGCAGGTAACCTTAGTCTTAAAGAGGCCTACATTTTTAAGTCTCCTAATTGTAACAACTTGGATTGGGCAAAGTTAATTTGGAATCAGTCCATTCTTCCCTTTAAATCTCTCTTTGTTTGGAAACTTTTGCTTTCTAAAGTCTCAACTAATGAAGCTCTAGCCTCTAGAGGAATCCTTATTTTTCCATCAATATGCATTCTCTGTGGTTGCCAAGCTGAATCTAATGCACATTTATTTTGGCAATGCCCTTTTGCACTAAAACTCTGGAGTTGGTTTGCATGTACCATATAAGTGGTGTACAATAGGAATTGGAGAAACCTTTGGGTTGAAATTGATTAAAGGATTGTGTCGTTGGTCACTAATAATCCCCCCTCATCCCGTGGACTCTTAAAAACAGATGGATCAATTGTCTTCCCATAACTAAAAACATAAATTTTTGCTTATCTCACATATTTAGGGATGGGAACCAATGTGCATACACTCTACCTTTATTAGGCCTTACCATTCATGGATTTGTTTGGTGGAATAAAGCTCTAATGTTTGTTTTGGATGATTTAGTCCATAATAGATTAGATATTTCCGCATTTTTTATTTTTTAATTTTTTGAGATTTTGGTTCTTGTCCCCCTCTTGTACTTGGTTTTCTTTTTTCTATATACATTTAGTTGTTTCGAAAAGAAAAAAAAAAAAACTCCTATATGATTGACCACCTTTCTATTATTTATTGATATGATAACCTGTTTTACTGATTCTTTTCAACTCTTCTTGCACAACCTAACATTTTCCTCTTTCACAATACTAGTTACAAATTTTTTTATTTTTCAAATAAACAATGTCTAATCACTCTGCAAATCTGAATTCCTATTACCACCTATTACATATTTTCTCACTTATCTCTTCCTTCTTCCAACACTCATTTACTTCTTTCAACACTATTCATTCTTTCTTCAAACAACCCATTTCTTTTATGTGTGTTTAATTTAATTTTTCTGCAACTTACTGCTTCAAGATGTAAAAACATAGACTATACCTCATTTGTTCCTACTAACAACCTTAATCTACACTTTCATTTATTTTTGTTAACAACCTATATGCTCTTATTCTATTTCAGGTGTATTAGATTTACAGATTGACCAGAGATCAAAAACATAAAAGGACCAAGAGAAGAGAAATACCCCATGAACAAAATAATAACAATGTACTCTTTCAATTTAATTTGTGTAAAAAAACTTAATTTGTTAGGATTCTTAAGCCATAAAAGTTCAAAAGCCACTCTCTATGACTTGTCATGTGGTTTCAAACTCATGAACTTGAAACTCTAAGTACCACTTGTTAGAACCAATTGAACACATACACAAGAAAGGAAGAGAGAACAATTATTTTAATTAGTTATGCACTTCACAACTCATTCATAATCACTGAAGTGATTACTTATACACCTCATGGATCATGCTTACAACACACCAATGAGGCTCAAAATATCATAATAACCAACTTAATTAACCAGTTACTTACACATCAAAGTAACTTCACTAACTCAACTAACTTATATATACTCACAAAATTGAATTAAATTTCAAAAGTGATTACTCCTTTCCATGCTTTCAATCCTTGCTATCAAAATATGTACAAACTACAACTAAGACTCAATCCCCAACTTTAACTAATATATCATAACACTCCTGATCATATGATCTTTAGCTCCCAACACTACTTGATTACTTCGCTGCCTCTCATATACTAACAAAAGCTTCTGAATAAGATCATCACACTCTAATCTTTGAGTTTCATCCACCTACAAAAATTGCATAAAAACAATTAAAAAATAAATAAATACCTAAAACTAAAAACATTAACAACATAACATTACAAAACATACCTGAAAATGCAAGTTATAGAAGAGCCTCCCTCCAAAGGTTTTAGAACAAGAAGAATTTAGTAGAACAAGTCCATTATTTTCCAAACACATCAAGATCTCAGATAATGGAATCTTGTAAGCATCATAAGATGAGATATGAACAACAAGCTCACTATCATTAAGCCTACTTGTTGAAACTACAAAAGAAGAATTGTAATTAGGAATTATTTTTCTTTGTGATTCTTTGTTGACTGCATATTGTTGCTGAGAAATTCTTGATAGAAGATCTTCTTTTTTCTTAGTTAATCCTTCAACTTGCTTTTGTAATTCCGGTATGTATTTTAACACTCTTGAAATTGTTACCGGAATGCTCATCTTTTTCTGCAACATCACAATGGAATAAAGTATTTGTTAATCACAATATTTTATGTGCAAAATTTCAATTTTATATTGATATGATTCCGTTCATATTATGATACACGTCACTTTCATTTTATATGGTGACATATATAGTTAGAACTAAAATATCATTTTAATTTTAATTAAAATAAATCAGTAATTAAGGAGAGAGATTAATAGTTATTATTACCGTTTGATCATCGCCTGGAAGAAGTGAACGAAGTGAAGAAATCAAGGTATTGACCTTTTTACGGCGATCACGTTCGCTAGCATTGTGGTTAAGCTTCTTCACCATAAGCTTAGGGGATGGTGGTGGCGTTTCAATCTCAACATGCTGTTGCTTCACTGAAGAGAATTGATGGTATTGAGGTAAAGAGTACTCTGAATTTGTTGCATAGTTCTTCTCCTTATGGCTAATATTTAAGGACTGTGGAGGGTCTAACTCTTGTAAGAGCCATCCCATGTTTGAGTATGAGAACTCAGGAGAACAGAAAGCAACCATGATGTGGATTTCTTAGGATTAAACAGTTAACTTAACTAGTGGCTTAGAGATTATTAAGACATATAGTATATACACATATATACAAGTTGTCCCTTACATAAGCATCATGTTATATTTACTAATTAATTAATGAATACACAAGTGGTCAAATTTACTTGATTATGTTTTAAATAAACCATAAGAGTGTACGTAAGCGCAACTAAAAAAAAAGTAATTACTCGAAGTAAATAGAATCACAAAAAGTATCTCCACTGAAAATTTATACATTATTGCATGCAACTTTTGAGTTAGATTAAAAGTCACTCATTAATTTTGGATATTTTTCCTGAAGAGCATTGGATATTTGGTCAAGAGCAATACAAGTGAAAGAGATACAATATATTTATCCAAAATTTTAAGGTGATAAGTGTATCAATTCTCCCACTTATAAATGATTAACTCTCCACATTTATAATCAATGTGAGACTCCAACTCACACTTGAATTTATTATTCTCAACAATAATAAAATTGGACTTGAATGCGGTGGAGTGAGCTTTTGATACGGCGAAGCGGAGTGGACTGCTAGGTTAACATTTCAACATTCAAGTTAGTGAATAAATAAGTATAATATGAGTATGAGAATGAGTAAAATACTTGGGTCTTGACATGTGAAGAGAATTCTATATGAAAGACGGTTATAACCGCCCTAGGTCACCTGACATGGAATGTGAGAGACCTTTCAATTAATTCTGACAACGGACAATCACCGTAGGACAACGATAAGGTGATGACCTCTTGAGTGTGGGATCACCCGACCTCCAACATTTTAGTGTTTGTGACTTTTGATTGAGCTTTTTTATAATTGGGCAACTTCGTCTTTGGGCCTAAGGTCAGCCCTGAACGATTGCCCATAAAATTTGCTATTGTCTAGCATCGATGGACCTAAGATTACCGGGATGCTTTCATCCTCTACCACAATACTCATGACGGAATCCTGACAAACAGAAGTAGAAAAAGCTTGGTGAGTGTACTCAAGTCACATTGGTCACAGGCACATTAAATGTCAGTCTTGTCACTGAATCGTTCATGTGATCGCTCCTGAACATGGTCCTAGACCCCTAGGACAGGGTGTGGCTTTGTCATTTAGGATGCTCAATTACACTCCAGCATTGTTGTAATTTTGAGGCGAATCCATCGATTGATTTTGCCTTCTTAGCTTCCTTTAGCTTGGATTGTAGATTTTCCTAACTTCTTCAATTATATAAAGGTTACTTCCGCTTACATGTTACGTTTCCACTCTTTGCTTAAACCATATCTTGTTTTTCCCGTTCCAAATCTCCTTCCATGAGCTACACAACACTTCATCTTGTCCATCTGTTTCTCTTCCAGATTTTGTAGCCCATTTTTGTCTTTTGTGTTTCTAGGTGGATTTTTCGACGTTGCTTTAACTTCATATCTTCAGTTTTTGTAAAATCCACATACATCTCTCTTGTTTATTTTCGTTGTTTTCAGATCTTTCCTCTTATAAATGGCCAACCTAGGAGATGGGGCAACAAACATTATAGGTGATCTGGTGGTTCGTACCTATATCGGGAGCCTAACAATAGGGAAGTTAGGAAACATCTTGATTTTTCCGGGGCATATTAGAACTCATAATGGACATTTTCTTTATGTTGACAGTGGGAAACAAATGGTTTGAAAGGACCAACAAAGACTCTAGTTGTCTGGAGATGATGCTCAGTATTAATGGGTTGATGTAGAAGTTGTAACTAGAACGCACGGTTGTCCTCTTATTGGTCGATTTCGCATACCGAATCTAGAAAAATGTTATTCAATTCCTTCAATAGATGTTCTGTGCTCTTCCATGAGTCTTTTTAGACTAGGATTCAAGCTCCTTCTCAATGACTTTGAATTGAAAGTACTGAATAAAAATGAAGCAAACTAAGGAGATTATACATAAAGAAGGAGTTAAGAAGCTTCAATGCAAAAATCTATTGAACAATGACTACTCATTGCCTCTACTATGTTTTTAAGCTTCAAAAAGTCTCTTCGATCATCAAGTTCTGAAACCTTCTAAAACATAATGTTTTACGCTAACGTTGGATGTATGTAAATTAATGCATTAGTAAGTGGGTACACATATGCTAGCCTGAACGCATCTATGTTGGACTAGATTTTGAACTGACTAACGTATGCATTCATGGGCATATGTATGGAGGTCATACACATGTACTAGTGTATGTACGAGGTCTTAGGGGGTATGTATGCAGGTTGGTAGAATCTTTCATTCAATTTTTCCAACATCTTGGGTACCTATTGTTGCACCCCAAAATTTGACCAACCGGGTCCTGTATCTGGCTCGATGTTTCGACGCATGACCGCACTCGCATCTGCATATCGCATACAGTGCATATTTCATTTGTTTTGATTTTATCGGGATCACAGCCCTCGTCTCGCGTTTCAGGTGTTTTTAATCAGTTTAGATAGATAGAATCGTGTTTTTGAGGACATTTCGGTGTCCGTTTATTTTTACCGGCTATTTTGTTGCGCTCTCGCAGTGTTGTTTGCCGTTCGGTGCTATTTGTGTTCCTTCGGGAATTATCGTGATTTTTCTGATTTTTATTAGGCATTATTAGGGTTTTATAGAATTTTTAGAATATTAATAGATTCTCTTTTAATAGTTTAATAGATTTTAAAATCTTTTAGCATATTAAATAGGATAATAGGTTTAATATATATAGTTGTTTTTAATAGAAATTTAATAGAATAGTAGGTTTTATTAGATTTTCTTTTAAATAGAGTTAAATAGATTTTATCATTTTCTTAATAGAATAATATAGATTTTTGTTATTAATAATAGATTTTAAATCATTTTTAAATAGTATAGGTTTTGTTAGAGAGTTATTAGAATTTTATTAGTGTTAGATTTAATTAGGTTAATTAGGAGTTAATCTTTTGTTTAGAGTTTAATTTGAATTTGTTAGAATTAATTAGGATTAGTTTAATTTTCATTAGTTAATCACTAGTTAAGTAGGTTTTAATTACAATTTTAGATCAGTATTAGGTCTTAATCAGCTTTTAATCCCATTTTTGGTCATTAATCCTTTTAATGCAGTTTTTTGGAGTTTGTTGGCAGATTTTCGTGGGCCCAATTAGGGTTTTTGAAGCCCAATTCATTCGTTAGACTCCAGAAAGATCCAGAAGAGTCCATGTCTATATAAGCATCAGCAGCCACGTGTAAGCTGAGGGAGGAGGCCACGTTTCACCCACACTGCCACACACCTCACGATTCCCTTCACCATCTCTCTGCCACGCTGCCACCACGTGGCACGCATGCAACCAACCTCTCCACTCACCTCAGCCTCACACTCTCCTTGTGACACCTCACCGTCCACCCCCTTCCGCATGTGCTCCACCTGTATCCCACCATCTCCCTGAGCACGCCACGCGTCCCACGCCACCTTTCCCTCATCGGCCATGCAAACACCGGCGATGACACGCCGGAGAAATTAGACGGCAGTCCACGCGGTGGTGCAACCCACCGTAACCTACAACCGTCGCCAGAACTCAAGGACACTCATCAATGATTTTCCAGACTCCGATCAACAATCATCAACCTCGCCGGAGATATCGCTGGAAGCTTCAAGCTATCACCGGAAATGCATCCATCTTCAAACTGTGTTTCCAGAAAATGATCCATGATCTTTAATCACCAGAAGTTGTTAGCACAAAAGAGCCTCCGATCTTCCATCATCATCAGCAATCATAGATTCACCAACCTCCTCCAACCTTCATCATCCAAATTCCAGAATCATCATCATCATCTGGTCCAGCGATCCCCAGAATCTTCAAGGTTCTTCACAAAAATCCCCAGAATTCTTCATCGCCATCCATCCACGATCTTCAATCACCAGAAATCGTAGCACATAAGAGCTCCGATCAATGTTCATCATTGTTCTTCGCCGTCCAAGAACACCTTCAAGCTTCACAGAAAAAAACCTTCAGATTCTTCATCAGCGATCATCAACTTCGCCTCGTCTCCGATCAAGATCTTTTAACATCACATCAAGAACAACAAGTGTTTATAGATCTTGTCGTCAAGAACATCAAGCCTTCGTTTCAATCTCCAGAAACTTCAAGAGTTCTTCCAGAAATGTGTTCAAGTCTTCACCAACGATTTGCCTCAAGAACATCCAAGAATAGATGACTTGTTTCCGGGAGATTTTGAGGTATTTTGCAGTCCGATTCATTTGTGTTACAAGATGTAGATAAGATGATTGAAACGAATCTGAAAGGTTGAGAAACAAAGGTGAATCAGAGAAGCTGAGAGAGGGAGAACGGCGAAAGTTGAACAGTGATTTGAGAGAAACAGAAAGATTAGGGTTTGAGGGTTCAGAGAGAGAGGTTTGTGTGTTGGATTGGGCCTCAAGCCCATTAGTTTCTTGTCCGTACACCATCCATTCTCCTCCATACCCCCCCCTTTTTCGTGTGTTGGTGACAATGGGCCAAGCCCAATGAACTCATCTCAGCTCATGCACCCCCGCTTCATCCAGCACCCCCTTCCCCCATTTTTTTTCTTTATTTTTGTGGGCTGGGCCTTTATTTCTTTTTTTTCTGCTTGCAATACCCCCTGTAACAGATTACACCCCTCCCCTTTGTATTTTTTTTCTTTCATTTGTTTAGAAAAAAATAAGGAAAAAAGAATACAATATTGAAAGAAAAAAAAGTATTATGAAAAAGAGAAAAGAAAATATATTAAAAAAGAAATGAAGAATATGGAGAAAAATAGTGAAGAATATGGAGAAAAATAGTGAAAAATATAGAGAAAAATATAAAAGAGATATAGAAAAAATATGAAAAAATATATGGAAAATTATTTTGAAAAAAGAACTTTGGAAAAGAAAAGGAGGAAAAAGAGGAAAAAATATTAAAGTAGACTTAATATTTTTTAAAGTACATATTTTTAGAGTATGGTTTTTTCATAGAGTTTATTTTCTTTTTAGAGATAGTTTAGAAGCCC